TCAACATTCATTTAAAGATCTAAGTATAATCAAAAACGTGTACTGACAAAAAGAATGGACATAAATGTTACAACTTTTTAAAGCATTTAGCATGAGTCAGACAGGAATGTGCACTATCTCATTTCACAGCCCTTAATTTTACATAGACTAGTCTTGGTAAGTAATGATGAAATCTGGCACTGGTAGCACAGTGTTGGTATGTATATGCTGTTCATAATCTGTTTTTTGGCGCTCATACTTATGTTTGGATGTCCTAATAACGGTGGTTTTTGGTAAATGAGCGCTTTGGCTCATTAGCCTCGTGTTCTCCACCTCACCCCCCCCCCCCTCCCACGATCTATTGCTCTGAAAATATACTTCGTTAGTATTTTAATTATTTGACATGCTTCATACTCGATTTGTAGCGGACTAGGAATTTTGATGACATGCATTATTTAAGTTTTCGAAGTATTTGTTTTGATGCACCTGAGAGTGAAACGCCAATGAACTGAACTACAGTTATGTACACGAGATTATGACAATATATGACGTATCCGATTCACTATTCAACGTAAGTCCGCCCTGGATTTTTGCACGGATTATCTCTAAAACATGTTTGGATGTTTTGGAATATTCGTAACACTCTAGTGATTTTAAACTTGTTACTTGTATTGTTGGAATCTCTGCTTGATTTCTAATATACAGAAAATAAGGCAAAATAACAGTTAGAGGTTTGTTTACATTATAGTTATTTTTCTCCAATCACAAGATTGATACTAGGTTGCATGTCAAACTTAATAATTTTATAGTTACTGATTTAAAGATTTTTAATGCTGGGCGCGACTTTTGGAAGGTATTGCAGTAACTTACCAGATCGAAGTCGGCGGCTTTCGAGCACAACCAAAATAGAAGAAAAATTTAAAAAAAATTAATTTCAGACAGCAATCTTAGCAATACCAGTAGCATAAACACGCATTGAATGCAAAAGGTAGCCGTCATAAGTGCTAACATACACAATACGGCATTCGAAATGCAGATCACGGTCAATGGAAGCAGTGACAACAGATCAATAGTTACACACGCAATTAATCACAGACGGCACAACAACTTCACTAGCCAGTTTCTGAATCTGCAGTTCACACCACAAGCTTCCCATTGTGGGTTCCGGGGGTCCCATAGTAAGGGGGGGGGGGGGGAAACAAGAACAGACCCACTGCCTCTCCAAAAAACATGTCGTAAGAGTCGACTAATTGGGGGTTTTCCTTCGAAGTCGCAGTGCATCTGCCTGAGAGGCAAGGAAGCAAGAATCTGCATACAAATAAATCTGATCTGTAAAACGAGTGTGCAGGCAACTCTCAGGTTCTGGAAGAAGTCTAAAGTCCACAGGTGGACGACCAACCCAAACTTTAGAGCCTATGAGGTCGAAGAAGAAGAGGAAGACAACACAAACCAAGTCAAGTGTAGTGGACAAGCAGTCCAAATGAAATGCACAGATAACTGTGGCGCGTAACGCACTCAGCTCACTACCTGGGCAACGGAACTATCCTTTCAGTCTGCATATGAGGGAAATTCTCCGACTTACGATTAACAAACGCAAAAAGTTTCAACGACTAATAACAGTAAGTCTGTTTTCACTATATTGACAGGAAATCGAAACAATGACAGCCGACTTGACGTTGATTACATTGTTTATGGAGTGCCAGGTTGTCAATAAAAACATGAACTACTACGACATGCTTGATGCTACAATGGCATGAAAGGGGACGTCGACGTTCAAATGACCTTATACTAGGCGACTATTGCTATGGTATGCCAATGTGCTTTCACAATGCAGCAATACGGGTACTGGACTTCGGTTGCACGCTAAGTGTAGCAGCTGGCGTGGCCTCATTTCCAGCACCAAACCATTCTGAAAGCAATGGCAAACTACTAAACGCACAATTGTCAATTAACATCGCACAAAGATAAACAGTTTAAAGTCAAGAAGATTCCCTTCATTGCCTCGGGTTGTTACCCCTGATGGCTTGGTCTCTTTCTGGAAAACGGTAACCACGGGTCGAGAGCGACCACAGAGCACAATCTCTGTAGCTCAAGAGACGATCTCTATGGATACCTGTTAAAAACTCGTGATCCCAAAGACGCGTCCGTTAAAGGAAGCTTCAAGCAAACGGCTTGACAACTTAGACCTGGAGATCCCTTCTCCGTCCCCTTCCGAAAACCGCTGACAGTTTCAGTTAAATGTATTGGCTCGTCACAAAGACGAAACAGGATATGCAGCTGACTTGTTTTATGATGCTTCTAAAAACGTGCCTGCTGATATCGGTTGTATTTTCACATTTACAACCAGGCTGGGTATTTTTATTTTATACTGGCCTAAATTATTTTTTTTTTTTAAACCCAGATGGCTCGAAGACAGAGCTTTCCGAGTCCGAAGAAGCTCAGCACAGTGCACAGGCTCTGTAGCACCGTCATGAATCCTGACATATTTTGGGTAGATTTTTAACTACAAATTTTACTTGAGCAGCGCTGTTAGGCTACTCTTTTCGATTTCCAACTGCCAAGGGATTTTTTACGCGCAAAACAATACCCACGGGCGTCCGATCTCACTACCCAGAGACCAGGGGGAATTACCAGAAGCCCAAGTTCACGTGAAAAAATCCTAGCCCTTACCGAGGATTGAACCCGGAACCTTTAGCACTCGAGGCGGACATTATGACTCTAGACCACGCAGCCCAATGGTTCGAAGTTTTTAAAAGGAGTAGAAAATTATAGGGAAGAAAAAAAGTTGGTAAGAAACTACAAACAGTTTATGTTAGCTTTACAAAATCGATTACAATAAACGAACAAAAGACGTTGCGGCGATTAGCCTTCATCAGCACATAAAGAAACAATACAGTACACATACACAAATATGCTCTAACTATGAAGTGACTACATGGGACTAATGTACACAATAAATGATACTCATCTGTGTTCCTGGTGAAAAACTTTCTTCAAAAGGATGTCAAGGACAGGTACTGGCGTATTAATCACCAACGCACGGACGGGGAGCAAAAATCGGGTTCTCTAAAACTAGGAAATGGACAGAGTAGACGCCCACAAACAGCGTACACTGAGTGTCTAAAGAGGGAGGAAGGGGTTGACCAATAAGGCGTGACCTAAGTTGGGTAGTGGGGATGACATTGTTCGAAGACAAATGATCACAACCAACCGAAAGCATCGTATCATCATATAAGAAGGCGGAATCTGGAATATACTGTGGCCACAACGACAACACATACAGACAAAATACACCTAGGTCGGCTCTGGGGCTAAGTCAGTGCGAACGCTTCGTAATGCCGGGATGAGGGGTTCGATCCCAGCTGCGGGCCATGCGCCTTGCTTGGTTTCGACAATGGTATGAAGAAAGCCGACCGTTTTTTAAACACTATTTTGTTTCTATTTATACCCATAGCTTTATGTAATTTTAACATTTAACCCTACAAATGTTATTACAATGCTGAAAAATTGCTCATGGTGTTCTAAAACAGAGTCGTCGTCCAATATGTTAACTTATGAAATGGAATACGCAAGACGAAAAGCAGAGAATACGGCTAGAGAACTCTGGTATTTTCTCGACTCCGTGTTGAATAAATCAGATACTGATGAAGGTCACACGCCACTAAAGATATCTGAACTGAGAGAAAGCTTGCAAGGATATAAAAGGTGGGTATCACTGTGTGTTTTCAGAATGGAATTAAAGCAGACTTTCTATGTTTTCTTTCTGTTCGGTTCCATTTGCCTTCTTCGTTAATGTGTGTTAGGGTCCTTAATTTATAACGTACCCCAAACACGAAATCCCAGTGGGAAATCCACAGCTGACCTGACAGTCCATTATTTGAAGGGGTGGAAGTGTGCTGTTGTGTGGTGCTTTCTAGTGTCTTCTAATGCTAACCCTAACCCTAACCCTAAACTTGGCTGTAGATAAATCGCGAGAAACTACAACCTGAACAACCTAGAATTTATTGGCACTGTCTCCCGTTACGTTGTCGTGACGTCAGGGGTAAGTTATAAATTAAGTACCCGTGTTAGAGCTGTCAATAGAAGACTCGCTGTCAAATCTAGTTTCGACTCGCTGCAGCCCACGGCCGGTGTTCGAAACTGGTCGGTTCCTGGGTGTTATCCAACCTTTAGGAAATAGGTACTAGAGTTACTACTCCGGGGTAAATTGAGGAACCTCGCTGTAGCTACGTAGTTGCGTGCCGACGGTGACACAGATGGAGAGTTTCTTATCAGCTGTCCATACTGGTGGCAGAGCACTTATGGTTTATAACCGTGTGCAATGACGCTGGTTCACATCTCCCGACTTTACCTTTACATGAAAAGGAGGAAAGGGGAATACATCGTCACGATGGAAAAGCTGAAGGGAAACGTGGCAGAGAGAGAGAAAGAGAGAGAGAGAGAGAGAGAGAGAGAGAGAGAAAGAGAGAGAGAGAGAGAGAGAGAGAAAGAGAGAGAGAGAGAGAGAGAGAGAGAGAGACCAAGAGAAGGTGCTGCACAGTTTGACATCATGGTACAGAGGATCAGCTGCGTTAGAACTCATTGAAAGTACATGAGACAGAAGGCGGTTCTGAACAGACATGATATCAAGGCCACACGTCATGGACTGTGAAAAGAAGAAGAAAGGAATCACTATCGAATACTTCTATCAAGGTCACCGACGTAAGAAGAAAACCCCGCTTGTCAAGGGCTCTGAATGTCGTAGGTCGTTTCATGGAAACATCTTTCAGTTCAGGTTCGTTTCTTTTTCCATGGATATCATTGGAGATCCTAGTCGGAGCTAAAGAGCTCGTGCTTTGTTTAATGCTTTAGGCAAGCAGCTAGCAATTTGACTGAGATCTAAATGGAATAACCTGGTACAGATTTAAAAAAAAAATATCACACTGACGTCGATTCTCTGTTTAACTGCCAAAAAACTAGAAAAAGAATAGACGCTAAATATTTGTATTTCATTTGGATTTTGAATTGGTTATGTTTATTTAATGAAAGCCCCTTTTTCCTTTATAAATGTTTGCATTTTTTTTTCTAAAAGAACCCTATTTGATGACTTTGAAAAACTCCGGACGGCCAACAAAGCAGACGTTTACAGAAAGCAAAGGCTTCAAGAACTAGGGGACCTAATTCAGAGGAGGCTAGAGTATCTTCAGGTACGTATGATCATCTCCCGCCCTTTTACTGGCTTGGATGCCTAGTTAAGTTAAAAAATAAATAAATAAGTAAATAAATAAGGAAACTTGTTAGCCTTTAGGGCATTTGGGATATGATATTCCAGTTCGTTTTTTATCCTAGGAAGTCTCTCTGCCTGTTCATTTCCCAACATACCTGGTGAAAATATCCAAAGGATGCTTACTATCCGGGACCTCTGAAGTTATGCTTGCCACTCTGCACGAAGCATGCATATCTTCATCTTTTTCAACATGCTCTGTGAGTTACAATCACGGCATCTGCGTACAGCTGATTCTCAAGCCAGCGGAAGACAGCAGAGACTGCCTCCACCTCCATTCTCAAACTAGACTTTGTGATATCATATGCAAGGCTTTCCTGCAGAATGATCGTTGTAGTGTGGATGCGATTACTGGTCCCTCCCTAACTACAGGCGGGCGACTGATTCACCCATTGGCGGTCTGGTTAACTACTCTGTCGCCAATGTTGGCAAATGACGCCATACTCATATGTTTATAGAACAATCGGGGCTGTATGGATGATGCGGTCAACATCACGCCAACCGCCTTTACTTCCCAGGACTACACCTCGTAACCACCCCAGGCTGGATCGACCTGAAAGTCAAGATCAGTTTTGAAGACGTCTGGCTTCGTCGGGACCCGAACCCACGATCTTTCGATTCGCAAGCGAGCGTCTAGCAGCTAAACCACAGAGGCTTCCGGAATACAATTAGCTGTAGAATAATCAACAAAATAGTCACAAATATTGCTGCAGGTTTGATTATACAATTAATCACATGACAGTTCTTTAAACTAACTTTACCTTATTCCCAGGGATCACCAGCTGTAAAGTCCGGCGCAAAGTTCCTACTGTTCATCCATTTCTGGACTTTGGTCTTGTTTCAGGACTTGAGTTTTGAGTGCACAGAAATTTCACACTTCTGGCTTTTTAGTGTTAAGACAGTTGATTGCTTGCTCCTCGGGATATTGCCTTCAGACTACGAAGGAAACTTCATGCTATCTATGGGGGTAGTGGGTCTAATCCTCCACCCCCCCCCCCCCATTCCCTCAAGATCACAATTTGCTATTCACAGTACAGGTTGCATAGCATCATTAGGAAGAGGAGGCGGGGGGAAGGGGGTAGGGGCAACAAAACCTCTGTTCTTTTAAAAGCATGTCATAAAAGGCGACTAATTAAGGATTTGCTTAAATGTACTATCCTTAAACTATAACGCATTCAATTGTCAAAGTCACACACAAAAAAAGACAGAAAGAAGACGACAAAAGAAGAAGTAACAGCAGAAGAAGCAGTAGTAGTAGTAGTAGTAGTAGTAGTAGTAGTAGTAGTAGTAGTAGTAGTAGTAGTAGTAGTAGTAGTAGAAGAAGAAGAATTAGAAGAATTAGAAGAAAAAGAAGAAGAAGAAGAAGAAGAAGAAGAAGAAGAAGAAGAAGAAGAAGAAGAAGAAGAAGAAGAAGAAGAAGAAGAAGAAGAAGAAGAAGATGATGATGATGATGATGGTGAAGAAGAAGAAGAAGAAGAAGAAGAAGAAGAAGAAGAAGAAGAAGAAGAAGAAGAAGAAGAAGAAGAAGAAGAAGAAGAAGAAGAAGAAGAAGAAGAAGAAGAAGAAAAAGAAGAAGAAGAAGAAGAAGAAGAAGAAGAAAAGAAGAAGAAGAAGAAGAAGAAGAAGAAGAAGAAGAAGAAGAAGAAGAAGAAGAAGAAGAAGAAGAAGAAGAAGAAGAAGAAGAAGAAGAAGAAGAAGAAGAAGAAGAAAAAGAAGAAAAAGAAGAAGAAGAAAAAGAAGAAGAAGAAGAAGAAGAAGAAAAAGAAGAAGAAGAAGAAAAAGAAGAAGAAGAAGATGAAAAAAAAGAAGAAGAAGAAGAAGAAAGAAGAAGAAGAGGAGGAAGAAGAAGAAGAAGAACAAAAACAAAAATAAGGACAAGAAGAACATGAAGAAAACATCACTGCATATTCGACAATGCTTTCAACAGTAACATATAGTTTTTGTTCTATACACACCGGAAAGCTTCACAGAAGTCCAGCCTCATATTGCATGATGCTTCCTCCATTCAGAACCCAACTGACTGCGAAACTGCCAAGAAGCTTTTCTGCAGCTTGACAAAATCTTGTGGCTTTGCATGCCAAATGCACCATATTGTACATTGCATGATATCAGCCTACGCCTTGGGAAGGACTCTTGTCTTGAAGTCAGACTGGTCTATGTACGGTGCCCAAAGCTTTGAAACTGTCTTTGAACCCATCAGCAGAACGTGTTTGGTCACACCTTTTAAAGAAAATATTACAGACTGGCCAGGTATGTAAGTTTTCATAGGAACCCACTGTGCAACTGCCAGGGTTTTAGTTGTAGTAATTGAACAAATTTGGAATATAAATGAGATATGATTTTTGTTTTGTTTTGTTTGAATTTCGAAAATTAAAATTTGCAATGTGTTTCTGTCTGGGGTTTGACTGAACTCATCACAATGCTGTGCTGACGTTCAAAGTTACGTAAAGCTACTAGGAATACACCAGACGACAAACACGAGTTATTGATCTTTATTTGCCGTTCCAACAGCCGCACTGTCAGGTCGCTCACTTGTGTTCTCAAGGGTGCTACGCACGGCTGATTTATGACACCATTTCCAACTATCTCACACTGTGATTCTTTCTGCAGTTACCTTTCGGATCATACATCTGTATCAGACTAACATCTTATTCCTTGTACACATACACAGTGGGAACTTGCAGTCAGTAGACATTCAGTCACGGTCTCGAACAATTACACGTGGTCATACAATATTAATTCTTCACAGTTTTTTTGTTACATTCGACAGCACACATCCAAGTCCAAACTTCAACTGACTTCCCATCCTCTCTGGGTTCACAGGTTCCGTTCTAGTCTCACGCTTTCCTCGTATCCCTATTCACCCAACACGGGATATTCGAGACATGCTTTCCACACTTTCATTTTATTTCACTGGTTCTCTAAACTTGTTCCCCCCCCCCACCCCCCTCCTCCCGAATCGGGAACTCTCTGGGATTTCCCCGGGAATTCACAACATCAGAAAATTCAATATCAGTTATACTTTTCTAAGTTTTAAATATTTTCACAACTCTTGGTGCACCCATAGAATTGATCTATCCTGCAGCCATTTTTACAAAGCCGTCATTTACATTTGGTGGTCAACGGAAGAGCAATTAGCTAGAATATTTTATCTTCCTCGAGACTTAAAGCGGTACAAGAGGAAGTGAAGAAGAAGAAAAAGATGAAGAAGAAGAAGAAGAAGAAGAAGGAGAAGAAGAAGAAGAAGAAGAAGAAGAAGAAGAAGAAGAAGAAGAAGAAGAAGAAGAAGAAGAAGAAGAAGAAGAAGAAGAAGAAGAAGAAGAAGAAGAAGAAGAAGAAGAAGAAAAAGAAGAAGAAGAAGAAGGAGAAGAAAAAGAAGAAGAAAAAGAAGAAGAAGAAAAAGAAGAAGTAATAGTAGTAGAAAAGGAAAAAGGAAGGAAGGAGGCCAGGAAGAAAGGAAGAAGACTGAGGAGGCGGATGGGAAGGATGACGACGAGAAAAAGAGATTACATTACAAGATTACAAAACAGAAAATTATTGCTTGACTAGTTTATTATTATTGTTTGATCTTTGTATGTGTTTTGTTCCAGCCGCCCTGGAATACATGAGCAGAGATAACACCATTTATCTGCGGTCTGAGGAAAACTATTCTCCCCAACAACCTGCGTTCTTGCCACCTGCCGTCCCCGCAGACATGGCCCAGGAGCTGTCCATCCTCCATGGGAACCCATCAGCTTGGTGGATCGGGCAGATGTTTCGGTTCATCTTCAGGCTGAAGCCAAACCTGTTGGAAGAGGTGATCAGTAGAGGAGAGAAAGCTGGGTTCACAAATACAATTGTCGGGTAGGCTGCGAATGTTTATAATTTAATAGGTCTCAGTATGGCTGCGGTTCCTAAATAAGTGGGTGGCAACCCTTTTGTGGATCGAACGATCATTTCACAGAGAGTCGCCACAGATCATCGAAAAATACAAATTCACTAATGTTATGAAGTAGCAACGAAAAAAAATTTGTATGGTTGAGGTTGGCACAAGATGAGGAACTGGATAAAAGGGTCACTACATTAGGAAGGTTAAGAGCCACTGCTGTGTTCTTGGGCCCCATTTGGGGTTTAGTGAGGGGGAGAAAGGATCAACTGCTTCCCTTGTAAGCATGTCCTGAAAGACGACTATTTATTCGTGTTTTTAGTGAAGTCTGAATACATCTACATGAAAGGCAAGGGGCCAACAGTCTGCGTACAAATAATCCAGATCTGTACAAGTAATGTCCACGCAAGACTCCATAATTTCCTCCCTCCCTCTCACCCTTTTGTACTTTGCATTTTGATAGAAAAAAACCCAGACCCAATGGCTTCTTAACAATCATGGAGTAAAAAAGCTTGCTGAAATCAGATATATTGGCTGACTAAAACAAAACAAAAAACGAAGAAGAGGAAGAAGAAGAAGAAGAAGAAAAAGAATAGGAAAAAGAAGAAGAAGAAGAAGAAGAAGAAGAAGAAGAAGAAGAAGAAGAAGAAGAAGAAGAAGAAGAAGAAGAAGAAGAAGAAGAAGAAGAAGAAGAAAAAGAAGAAGAAGAAGAAGAAGGAGAAGAAGGAGAAGAAGAAGAAGAAGGAGAAGAAGAAGAAGAAGAAGAAGAAGAAGAAGAAGAAGAAGAAGAAGAAGAAGAAGAAGAAGAAGAAGAAGAAGAAGAAGAAGAAGAAGAAGAAGAAGAAGAAGAAGAAGAAGAAGAAGAAGAAGAAGAAGAAGAAGAAGAAGAAGAAGAAGAAGAAGAAGAAGAAGAAGAAGAAGAAGAAGAAGAAGAAGAAGAAGAAGAAGAAGAAGAAGAAGAAGAAGAAGAAGAAGAAGAAGAAGAAGAAGAAGAAGAAGAAGAAGAAGAAGAAGAAGAAGAAGAAGAAGAAGAAGACGAGAAGACGAAGAAGAAGATGAAGAAAAAGAAGAAGAAAAAGAATTCAACACAGTCTGTACCTTGATGATAATGACGTTCAACCCTACAAGGAGATCACACTGAGTGACAAACTCCAGGTGAGACAAAGTGTCACCATTCAGACGAAGATCACCTAGAAAGAGGTCCCAAAAACCCCTTCAACTGTTCGGTTATATCAGCACCTCCGACTAAAGCCGGGGTGGGGCTTTGAAGTAAAGGGAAATTGCGTCCAACACTGGGACGGAAGTTATTAGTTTGTACTATTGGAATCCTTTCTTTATATAATAAAGTGAACATCCTCAGGTACTTTCTTATTAGCCTACCAAAAACAGGGGAAATACACAGGTGACGTGACAGTAAAATATTTGAGCAGGTGGTAGATTATGCGTTTTGTTTAGTTTAGGTTAAGGGTTACAGTTAAAGTTAGGGTTGAGGATAGGGTTGAGGTCAGGGTTAAGACTAGGGGTTAGGTTAGGGTTAACGTTAGGGTTAAGGTTAGGGTTAAGGTTAGGGTTAAGATTAGGGTTAAGGTTAGGGTTAAGGTTAGGGTTAAGGTTAGGGTTAAGATTAGGGTTAAGGTTAGGGTTAAGGTTAGGGTTAAGGTTAGGGTTAAGGTTAGGGTTGAGGTTAGTGTTTAGTTTAGGGTTAAGGTTAGGGTTAAGGTTAGGGTTAAGGTTAGGGTTAAGGTTAGGGTTAAGGTTAGGGTTACTGTAAAGTTTAGGGTTATGGTGAAGAGTTGGGTTAGGGTTAAGGTTAGGGTTAAGGTTAGGGTTATGGTAAAGGTTAGGGTTATGGTGAAGGTTGTGTTCAGGGATAAGGTTAGGATTAGTGTTAAGGTTAGGGTTAAGTTAGGGTTTGGGGTAAGGTTAGGGTTAAGGATAGGGTTAAGTTTAGGGTTAAGGTTAGGGTCAACTTTAGGGTTATGATGAAGGTTAGGGTTGGGGTTAATGTTAGGGTTAGTGTTCAATTTAGGTTTAAGGTTAGGGTTATGGTAAAGGTTAACGTTAGGGTTATGGTAAAAGGTCAGTGTTAATGTTAGGGTTAAGGATATGGTTGGGATTAGGGCTCGGGTTAAGGTTAGGTTAATGTTATGGGTTAGTGTTAATGTTAGGGCTAGGTAAACGCACGAAAACCTCGGCCTTGGAAGAAACGCGCTAAAGTACAGAAAACAAGGAAAACCCGCTCTTAACACCCTCCTAAATATTTGACTGTCCAGTGACGTCATTTGTGGTCGGCTAAAAACAAAGCACTTATCTTCACCAGATCGTCTTTTATAAAAATGCCTGATTCTTTCACAGTAAAGCTTGTCTTATCAGCCCAACACTATCTTTAGTATTGTTTAGTAACGTATCCTTTACAGGACGTTGCAGAACCAACCCCAACAGCCCCTGGCTGTTGTGTGGTTTTTCTAGGCAAATTTACGTCAAGTAGTTTGCCATTGCTTACTGGACTGTCGGCTTTCTTGATACCACTGTCGAACCCTGCATCCCGGCATTACGAAGCGTTCGCATCGACTTAGCCACAGAGCCGACATCTTTAGTATTACATCTTGTTTTATCTGACAGTGTTCATATACGGAGAACAGACAAAATTCTCACAGAGGCGGCGTCTCATCCAGTTGAAGAATACATGTACCATGTAAAAGAATACTACGACCAGGTAGAACGAACACAGCCGGGCATCTCGAGGCGAGTGTATCTTGCTACAGACGAGCCTGAAGTGTTGTCAGAGGCACGAAAGAAGTAAGTCTCCAGGACTGGATGTAGACATCTTATCTTAGTAAACTCCAGGTTAGTGCCTCACAATTTGTAGAGGCCTAACACATTTTTGGTTTTATACAAATTCAATTTTCTTTACACACACACACACACACACACATATGCACACACACTCAGGCACACGCACACACACACACACACACAATCGTTTCTTCTTTTTCTTCGTTCACCGGCTGTGAACTCCGGCAGAAAACCAGGTTGTTCGTCTAATTGAGCTTTGGCTTTGTGCCAAGGAATGAATTTTGCGTATACTTCCGTTTCACTGACTTATTTGTATGCAGTTAATTGTTCCTTTTCGCTCTGGCAGATGTACTGTGTCTTCGAAGGAAGTCCCTAGTCAGTCGACTCGTACGACATGATTGAATGTTGAATGTTGAGGTAAGAATCGACATCACAGCATTCGAGACATTTCCATAAGTGCTCCGTCCCCATCTTCAGCAGCAAGCGCAGAGTTCCATTTCCGATGGCACCAGTAACCTTCTGATTGTAAATCCGTCTCATCCTTTCTCTGAGTGTTGAGCGTTGGCCAGATCCCCCTGTAACTCCTCGCAGCGCCATTCTCCTCAGACCGTAAGGATCTATCTGCGCCTCTGCACTGTTCACTCGTTCTCAAAGGGCAACCACAATATCTAGCTTGTCATACTTTAGTTCACCACTAAGTGGTGCAGAGCCGGCCAGTCTATCTGCCTACTCATTTCCTAATCACCTGGAGAAAATATCCAAAGGAAAACTACCCGGGACCTGTGAAGTGATGCTTGCCATTCTGCACGAAGCATGCCAGTTTCACCTTTCTCAACATGCTCTTTGAGTCAGTTACAATGACGACATGTGTGTACAGCTGATTCTAAAGCCAACAGAAGGCAGCAGAGACTGCCTCCACCTCCATTCTCAAACTAGATGTTGTGAAATCATGTGAGTAGGACATGCTTGTTGGGGAGGCAGAGGTCTATTCTTGTTTTCCCCTCATTGGGGCCCATGAACCCACACGGGGAGCACACTTTAAAAAAAAAACCTTGAAGTTTTCTAGTTTTGTTAATATTTGTGTGTGTATGTGTGTGTGTGTGAGTGTGTATGTGTGTATGTGTGTGTGTGTGTATGTGTGTGTGTATGTATGTGTGTATGTATGTGTGTATGTATATGTGTGTGTGTATTTGTGTGTGTGTATGTGTGTGTGTATATGTATGTGTGTATGTGTGTGTGTGTATGTATGTATATGTGTGTGTGTGTATGTGTGTGTGTATGTATGTGTGTATGTGTGTATGTGTGTGTGTGTATGTGTGTGTGTGTATGTGTGTGTGTGTGTGTAAGTGTGTGTGTGTGTGTATGTATGTGTGTATGTGTGTGTGTATGTGTGTGTGCATGTATGTGTGTATGTATGTGTGTATGTATATGTGTGTGTATTTGTGTGTGTATGTGTGTGTGTATATGTATGTGTGTATGTGTGTGTGTGTATGTATGTATATGTGTGTGTGTGTGTATGTGTGTGTGTATGTATGTGTGTATGTGTGTATGTGTGTGTGTATGTGTGTGTGTGTATGTGTGTGTGTGTGTGTGTGTGTGTATTTTCAATCTTTAATTTTTTATAATTTGTTGTAGCCTATTTAAATTGAAAAGAAAAAAAAAAATTTTTAATTAACCAGCTTGATGACTAATTGAGAGCTTCCTTCGAAGTCGGAGTGCATCTGCCTGAGAATCAAGGAACCAGCAGTCTGCATACAAATGAGTCTGATCAGTAAAACGGATGCACACACAACACTCAGGTTATTGAACAGGACTGCAGTCCAAAATTTGATGACAACCAGAAATTTTAGCCGGAGCGTACAGCAAGTAAAAGCGAAGAAGAAGAAATGAACCTTTTTTATTTTAACGTTTTCTGAGATTAACTGTTCAATGTAAAACGAAAGCGGCCCGAGAACGCTGTTTATCTTGGGACCTCATCTTTTCTAAATCCTGCCATTTATCTTCTTCTTCTTCTTCTTCTCGTTCTGCATGCTAGTGGTTTTTCAGATGGGATGTCTCCCTTGCGTCTATGAAGGCAGAGATTCTCAACTTTCCAAATGCCCGCTTCCCTTTAATACAGTTACTCATGTTGTAGCGACTCCCAACAATAAAATTATTGTGTTTGCTACTTCATAACTTTAGTGAATTTGTGTTTTTGTATGGTCTTAGGCGACCCTGTGAAAGGGTCGTTCGACCCACCAAAGGATCATGACCCATAGGTTTTCCTTTGTGACATCGTTACTAACTTATGATGACATCAATTTGCTCTCTATGTATCTTGGTCAAATAGATAAAGAAAAAAAAAATCCATTTTCACGCCTTTAGGCACATCAGGCATATGGGAAGAGCACCCATATTTTTACAGATAAATCAGCACTAGGTAAGTAATGGGGTCAGCATTACGCCGGCCGTCGTTACTTCCCTAGGACATACATCCTGGTACCAATTTTAGGCTGAGTCGACCTGCGACGTCTTATACCACCATAAAAATCTACTCAGCCAGCTGTAGGTTTCGATCGCAGTACGTTGGAATTACGAGTCGGATTCCCAACGCCTGAGCCACGGACACCGCTGGTCAAAGGGATGTAAAGCAGTTGTTTTTGTTTGCCCATTATATTTACTGATTATTTTTCTTCATTTTAAAAACCTCTGCGCGCAATCATGACTAAAAGGCTTGCCTGTCTGCTCGGTGGTTATGTGTATCAATTCCTGGATTTTGATAAGTGCGAACATAGAACAGGAACAATCTCCTTCTCCTTCTTCTTCTTCTTCTTTTATTTTTTTATGCTTTCACTATTGAAAGGGTAGGAGTCGCAGTGGCGTAGTGGCTAGACACTCGCCTGAGGATCGGAAGGTCATGGGTTGGCTCCCTGGCAAAGCCTGACATTTTTCAAAAATGACCTTGACTCTCACGTCGACCCAGCCTTGAGTTTGTACCAGGTGCAGTTGGGGGAAGTAAAGGCGGCCGGCGTGATGCTGACCTCATCACCCATCCTGTGCCGTTGGTCTATAAAATATAGGTTTAGCCTTATACACCCAATACGTCTGAAAGGCGTAGAAAAGGGTCCTTTGAGCTACTGAAAAGGGTGGTTGCAACAGATTCATGAAAACTCCCACCCAGGTCATGTTGCAGTAAACACACATAGATCCGTGCGCAAAAGCGGATGGTGGACGCTGCATTGCATAAAACAGCCAAGGATACGATGAGACAACATCTAGTTAGAGAATAGGTCTGGAGGCAGTCGCATCAAATTCTCTTTGGCTAGAAAACCAGCAGAAATATGTTATGATCGTGACAGACTCAAGGAATATTAAGAAAGATGGGCAAAGGCATGTTCTGTTGAGATTGACCTCAAGGTACCAAGCTATTAGCGTATTTTGAATTTTTTCTCTAGAACTTGAGGTGTGTTGATAAATAAGATGACAAACAGACTGGCTGGCGAAGCAACTCTTGGTGGTGATTTGAGACATGACACGCCAAATGTGGTCAAAATACTTTCAGAGCAAGTGAGCAGCAATACGGAAGCAAGAAATTGTCATTAAGGTGAAGAGGATATGATGCAATAGAGGAATCGGTGGGAGATAATTTCTACCCATGGTTGAAGTGGGGCCTCTTAGTCTCCTTTGAAATATTTGAAGGAGGGGCACTATAGGGGCTTGCCCCCCCCCCCACCCCCTCCGCAAAGGATCCGGCTCCTAAAGTAACAGCGTTCTAGGATTTAAACAAAAATGTGTAATCTAATTAAATTTCAATGTTGCCTGTTGATAAATCTTGCAGATATCCAACCTACACGTTTATCAACGACTTCAACAGTACACGCTCAGCAACAATGACAGAGAGAAACTCAAGGCAATCTTTACACGGAGTCATCTCAGATGTATATTATCTGGCCCGTTGCGATTACTTAGTCTGTACCTTCTCATCCAATGTGAGTTCGAATTTTTTTTTTTTTTCATGAGTTAGGAGTTAAAAGCAACACCATATCGCCTAGGACCAGGGCTGCAAATTTTCTTTCTTTCTTTCTTTTTTTTTTTTTTTTTTGAATAGTACGAAGTATTTAATACTTAAAAAAAAATATACTACAGCACATCAAAAGATATCAAATCTTTTTCTTTTAATTAAGAAAAAAAAACCACAATATAAAACACCGTTCAACACACACAAACACACACACACACACACACACACACACACACACACACTCACACTTACACCAACAAACAGATACACACGGGTTGAATAGAAGTAGGTCAAGAGGAAGACCAACACGACCATGGAGAGAATACACAAGCATGATTACATACATTTAGAGTCAGTAACTGGAAAGAGAACGCCAATCACAAATCAGACCGATTGGGTAACTCCTGAAATATTACAAGGACCTATTTCAAACTGAGAGGAAAATGAGAGCCTGGATAAGTTGTTGCGTTTTACATTGATAAAGATTCAAGGTTTTCATCACAGAGAGAGCAAATGCAGTGTAGTGGCTAGACGCTAGCCTGCTGATCTAAAGGTGCAGACGTGGTTTGGTGTCTAGACGCTAGTCTGCTGATCTAAAGGTGCAGACGTGGTTTGCTGTCTAGACGCTAGTCTGCTGATCTAAAGGTGCAGACGTGGTTTGCTGTCTAGACGCTAGTCTGCTGATCTAAAGGTGCAGACGTGGTTTGGTGTCTAGACGCTAGTCTGCTGATCTAAAGGTGCAGACGAGGTGTGATGTCTAGACGCTAGCCTGCTGATCTAAAGGTGCAGACGTGGTGTGATGTCTAGACGCTAGTCTGCTGATCTAAAGGTGCAGACGTGGTGTGATGTCTAGACGCTAGCCTGCTGATCTAAAGGTGCAGACCTGGTGTGATGTCTAGACGCTAGCCTGTTGATCTGAAGGTGCAGACGTGCTGTGATGTCTAGACGCTAGCCTGCTGATCTGAAGGTGCAGACGTGGTGTGATGTCTAGACGCTAGCCTGCTGATCTGAAGGTGCCGACGTGGTGTGGTGTCTAGACGCTAGCCTGTTGATCTGAAGGTGCAGACGTGGTGTGATGTCTAGATGCTAGCCTGCTGATCTAAACGTGCAGACGTGGTGTGATATCTAGACGCTAGCCTGCTGATCTGAAGGTGCAGACGTGGTGTGATGTCTAGACGCTAGCCTGCTGATCTAAAGGTGCAGACGTGGTGTGATGTCTAGACGCTAGCCTGCTGATCTGAAGGTGCAGACGTGGTGTGATGTCTAGACGCTAGCCTGCTGATCTAAACGTGCAGACGTGGTGTGATGTATAGACGCCAGCCTGTTGATCTAAAGGTGCAGACGTGGTGTGATGTCTAGACGCTAGCCTGCTGATCTAAAGGTGCAGACGTGGTGTGATGTCTAGACGATAGTCTGCTGATCTAAAGGTGCAGACGTGGTGTGATGTCTAGACGCTAGCCTGCTGATCTGAAGGTGCAGACGTGGTGTGATGTCTAGACGCTAGCCTGCTGATCTAAAGGTGCAGACGTGGTGTAGTGGCTAGAGGCTAGCCTGCTGATCTAAAGGTGCAGACGTGGTGTAGTGGCTAGAGGCTAGCCTGCTGATATAAAGGTGCAGACGTGGTGTAGTGGCTAGACGCTAGCCGGCTGTTCTAAAGGTGCAGACGTGGTGTAGTGGCTAGATGCTAGCCGGCTGTTCTAAAGGTGCAGACGTGGTGTAGTGGCTAGACGCTAGCCGGCTGATCTAAAGGTGCAGACGTGGTGTGGTGTCTAGACGCTAGCCTGCTGATTCGAAGGTATAGAAGCGGTGTAGTGGCTAGACGACAGCTTGCTGATCAGAATTTCAGATGTTGTATGGTGTCTAGACGCTAGAATGTTGATCTAAAGGTGCAGATGTTGTATGGTGTCTAGACGCTAGCCTGCTGATCTAGAGGTGCAGACGTGGTGTGATGTCTAGACGCTAGCCTGCTGATCTAAAGGTGCAGACGTGGTGTGATGTCTAGACGCTAGCCTGCTGATCTAAAGGTGCAGACGTGGTGTGGTGACTAGACGCTAGCCTGTTGATCTGAAGGTGCAGACGTGGTGTGGTGACTAGACGCTAGCCCGCTGATCTGAAGGTCTGCACGTGGTGTAGTGGTTAGACGCTAGCCTGTTGATCCTAATCTCCAGACGTGATCTATTGGCTAGACGAAAGCCTGCTAAACCACGAGTAGTATAAGAGTCAATTTGAGACCGTATCCCTATCAATTTTTCTCCCAGCCCCCTTTTTTATCCTTAGTTCAAAATGGTGGCCGTCTGACGTTATGAGTGGTTGGTTTTTTTTCGGGAGGCTGTAGTAGCTCTCCTCTTTATCCTTAGTGAAATATCGATAGAGATTTTGGTGACGGTACGAGTGACGTCACCAGGAGGCTGAAGATCAAAATATATATATGTTGCTATTATTTAAGGTGGGCAAATCAATACTTCCTTGTGGACGAATTACTGATTTTGTTTGTCTTCAGCGGACAAAGCGGTGTTAAAGGTCACTCATCTGCCCGTTCGCCCACAAGTGGTTGAAGCTAGGCTGCGGTATATCATGTTCCTTGATGTTTTATAGGCGGTTATTTTCGGATGATCAGTGGAGGTCAGTGTTAGGGTAGTGGTCAGGTACGGGCAATGTGGAACGCTATAATTGCCTTTGACCCTATAGTATTTTGTCGTTAGACTTACGTCGAATGTATAAGGCAGAGGGCGGGGATCCCTTATTACCCCTGCTGATCCGAAGATTCATATGTTCTTTAGTGGTTAAACTCTAGCCTGCTGATCTGGGGTTCAAATACGAACCGAGCCGGGCGTTTCTCAAAACGGACCTTTACCCTCAGGTCGAATGTGTATTTCATAGGGACCGGGTAAAATCCAGAGAAATAAGGCACCCATCGTTTTTTTGCCACGTTACACACCGAATGCGAAGTGTCTAAAAGGTATAGTTTTAGCCCTAAATGCCCGATGTGCCTAAGGACCCGTAAAGGAATCCTTTAGTTTACAAACACAGACGATTACATAAAAAATATCTGATAGGAAAGCAAGAGGAAAAGCTAGGAGAATATAGATTGATGACATTGAAGACCAACTCCATCAACACGGAATGATGATAGCCATCGCTACAAATCAATCTGTGCATCACAGAATGTTCTTCCACACGATGCTTAACAGCAAAAGTTTAAATTGATGATTCTAATGCTAATGGTCAGAGGAAAGGCAAGACTGACATACAACCACACTACGAATGGCACCATTAGTATTGGAACTGCGCTGGCTGCTGAGGATGGGGATGGAGCGCATTTGGGACTGCCCTGAGTGCTGTGATGTCAATTCTTAACTCAACTCAACATGATGCTAATAAAAACGAGGAATTTTTTGAACAGCTTTGCCGAATAGCGTACGAGCTCATGCAGACCTTGCACGGAGATGCCTCCGGGAATTTCCGTTCTCTAGATGATAATTACTACTTCCATGGACACAACGCTCATGGCCTCACTGCTGTAGAAGCTTATCGGAGCAACAGGGAGGGACATATCGCGCTGAAGGTGAGTTCAAGATTGGTTGGTCTAGAGTCTGCTTTCTTCGTAATCATCGCCATCATCATCATTATCGTGATCAGTTTTATCAATATCATCATCATTATCATTATTATCGTCGATATCCGTGTTTTCGTTGTCATCGCTATTATCCTTGTCATCATCACCATGGTCGTCATCATCATAATCATCATTATCAACATCGACCTCATCATCATAATCACCATTATCTTCACTGTAATCGCTGTTATCATCTTCATAATGATAATCATCATCATCTTATCACCATTATCATCAACATCATTATCTTCATCACCGTTATCATTATCATCACCATCATCATCATCATCATCACCCTCATAATCATAATATTCGGGTTCCTGTTTTGAGAGAGAAAACAATAGATTCATTGCCTATTTACAAAGGTTAGTTGCTTATCCTTTACAGGACGCTGCAGAACCAACCCCAGCATTTTTTTTTTTTTTGCTGTTGCGGTTTTTCTAATCAAGTTTACGCCCAGTAGATTGCCATTGCTTTCTGGACGGTCAGCTTCTTGATTCCACTGTAAAAATCAGCGCAAGGCCCACAGCTGGGATCGAACCCGGTACCCCCGCATAACGTAGCGCGTTCGTAACGCCTAAGCCACAGACACAAAGCGACTTAGTCGGGGATTATGCTTCGAATTGGGTTTGCGTCTGCCCGAGAGGCGAGAAGCCACAAAATTCAAGATTGGCGTATCAGCAATGTGCACCAGTGGAGAGGTGCCCCAGACAGCAGAGCATGTACTCAGGGACTGCACTGAATTTGACACATTAAAGCAAACCTTTCGGCCGGAAAGAACAACAGTGGAACGTAAGCTCTACGGACCACTGAATGAATTACCAACAACAGTGAAATTTATACAAGAGACTAAATTGCTGATATAGAAAACTTATTTCAGGCGAACGAAAGAAGAAGAAGAAGAAGAAGAAGCCTGCAGTCTGTATTCGAATAAGCCAGATCTAAAAAAAGAATGTGCACGAAAAACACGAACTCTGACTTACTTGTATGCAGACTGTTGGTTCCTGGCATATCATGCAGAAGCACTCCGGGCTCGAAAGAACCATTTCTAATTAGTCGTTTTTTATACATGTTTGTTATCGAGGTGGGGGGGGGGGAGGGGGGGGGGGGGACAACGGGTTCATTCCGTTCAACCTCAAAATTGGTCCCCTCTATCCATACTGAACCAATTTTACCAATTTGTTATTTTATTGTTATGTCAATTTACTTTCAGCCAGGGGATGTAATCTACGTAGCGGGCAATCACTGGAACGGCTTCTCAATGGGAACGAATCAAAGGACCAGTCAGAAAGGCCTCTTCCCGTCGTACAAAGTTGAAGATACTGTTGTAGCTGCAGACATGCCGATCTACCCCCAAGTTCCACTCAAGTTAACCGACAGAATGGAATTTAAAAACGTTTCGCTAACTAGAAATGTAGAAACAGTAAGAAGCTCTGAAAAATTAAATTCACAGCGACAACAAGCGGATGCTTCGCTATGATCACAAGACTTATTCAAATAATGGTATTTGTACATGTCTGTACATATGATTACTAAAGGAAAAATAACTGCCATTCACTGCCTTTATTTTACCACTTTTGCGGTGTAGGCAGGTAGGTCTTTGAACCGGAGGATTTACGGCCGCATGGTTAGTTAGACTGTGCAGGTGAGGAATAGGATCCGAGCCCGGGTCTTCCTGGTGACAGCCCAGCGTCCTAACCGTTTGGCTAGCTGCTCCTTATCTCTGGCACAGTTGATCAAGTTTTACAACCCCACGCGTGCTGGACTTCAGGTTAACTTGTATCAGCTATCGGCGGCCCTAATTAAAACCTTACAGTCGAAAAGGGGTGCTAAAAGGCATTCCTGCCCCTCAGCCTGTACCACCTCCACTCCTTCTCCGCCACAGGCGAATCAACCAGACTAAAAAATTCAACTAACATATTTTCTCATAGTATATTTTCAGAAAGAATAATACGACCGAACCCACCAAAGGCCACCCGACGCTCCGAGGCAAACCAGCTAAAGGGCATAGCACAAGAAGGGGACCAGCACTCGTGGATTTCAGTCTGTTATGCATTTCATTTTGTAAACTCCCCGCCCCTCCCACATATGTTTCAATGTTAATAAACTCATTTTCAGCTAAAAACCGAGGAAACCCACCAAAGGCCACCCGACGCTCTGAGGCAAACCAGCTAAAAGGGCATTGCACAATAAGGGGACCAGCACTTGTGGAATTCCAGGCTACTACGCTACTCTGATAACTTCACCCGTCCCTTCCCCTATGTATCTAAAATGTAAATCAGTCTATTTCCAGATCAACCCAGGCAGAGCAGGCAGTGTGCAGGACTCAACTCACCAAGGACCTCTTCCTCAACCTAGCAAGCTATCTGTCTCTCTCCATCTTCCGATCTAGCTATCCAATATCTTTGCACCTTCGGGCGTTCTAATTTTTTTGCAACCTTTGTTACCTCCTCTACTTATCTAACGGCTGCACACAACAACAAGATTGTGACAGTCGTCCTGTGGGGGCCGTGTTTTAGGGCGCTCAGTATGCGGAACTGTTTGTTTCGTGGTGGTGTGACTTCGAACTGACTTGGTGCTAACACAGATGGACGATGCAAAAGCTAGCGAATAAGCCAATTAAACAGGAACCAGGCCCCTCAGAACCAGAACTTAGGCAACAAATGAACAAACTCAGGTGAAAGTGCTCACCACCAGGAATATAAATAAAATAAGATAGCAAAGGAACCGTCCTTGAAAAAGCAGGCCATCAGGCGGCTAAAAAAGGACTAAGCTTGAAATTTTTGTTTGATTTTATACGATACGATACGAAGGGGTGCTATTCACAGCAAGCGGCCTATGTACACACTGGGCGACCTTTTATTCACAACCGGTCAGGCTACTCTAGGTCAAGTGGGGTGTAACCTGGTCCTAAAAAGGACCGACACTCACTAGTAACAAAACAATTTACACTGTCTGCTGACACAAACGTCGACAAGCCTTTATTTTCGCAGTGCTAGTATATCTGAAAGATGTCATCATCATCGTTTACTGACAAGACTAGCCAAATCGAAACAAGCAGCTTTTCGGTAGGCAGCTAGGTTAAGACATCGTCGTGAGATCAATATTTGACAATCCACTACTATATTCTTGTCTAAATACTACACTGTTTCGGCCACTTACCGTGAATAGCACCGAAGAGGTTTTCTGGGGCATTCTCATGACCACATCACTCATCGAGTTCTATATGTCAAGACCGCACAGTGAAAACATCAGAAAGAGTTTATTACATAAACAACCCACATCAGAAACTTTGAAAGAGGTTGAAGCATAAACAACATACATCACAGAAAAGAGAATGAGGTTATCACATAACGTACAGACATCACAAAATCAGATTTAAATTTATGACATAGAGAAGAGACATCACAAACATTATACTGAGGTTTTAACCTAAATAACATACAAAGCACACTTCAGAAAATGGTTATCACATAAAGAACAGTTAAGGCAAACATCAAAAAGTAATTATCACTTAAAGAAAAAACGCAGCAGATATATTAGAATGAGGCTTCTACACACCCCCCACCCACACACACACACATACATATAGACACACAAAGCAGACAATGCAGAAATCAGAAAAAGGTGATTCCCATAACGAACACTCACAGTAAACCCCAGCAAGAGAGTAGGACGTAAATAGTATACATTTGCAAAGAGCACCCATTGAAAACAGCATAGATTTGCAAAGAACACCCATTGAAAACAGCATAGATTTGCAAAGAGCACCCATTGAAAACAGCATAGATTTGCAAAGAGCTCCCATTGAAAACAGCATAGATTTGCAAAGAGCGCCCATTGAAAACAGCATAGATTTGCAAAGAGCACACATTGCAAAGAGCCTAAATGTCAAATGTCAGAAAGAGGCGGTCTGTCTCGTTATCGCAATTAAATAAATGTGTGTAACTTCACAGCAATGAGGGTAAATGACACTTTTCCACGCCTTTATTCGTACTGGGCATTGTCATAGCCTAGTGCGGTTATGGGACATAGCAGGTGATAATAGTGAATATCCATATCTGTACTGAGTGACGGTGACATGAAATACCTGGGCATAGCATTTGACAGATGCTTCTCATTACCAAACACGTAGACCACATTATAATCAAAGCTAAGAAAAAGTATCTCCGCAATAAAAGTTATGGGAGCTGCAAACTTTGTACAACGGCGACTTATAATGTTATATCATACGTTAGTTCTTTCCACCATTGAATATACATTGGCTTTTTAGGGAAATTTCCGCCTACATAAGGGACGCAATTTTGCGTTGTGTGTGTGTGTGTGTGTGTGTGTGTGTGTGTGTGTGTGTGTGTGCGTGTGTGTATCTTTTTTGTTTGGTTCTGAAGCCTCAACCAGACTTTTTGCCGGGAGCCCTAATATAACCCAACCTATGGGTTAAACGGAGTTTGTCTGATCTGTCCCCTGGTCGAGAGCTGCGTTAGCGCAGTCAATAGGAGACTCGCTTTCAAATCCAGCTCGACTCGCTGCAGCCGAAGACCGGTGTTCGAAGCCGGGTGCATCCCGGGGTTCCTCCAGCCTCCAGGTAATCGGTACCTAAGTTAACACTCTGGGGTAAATGAATAACGTCGCTGTAGCTATGGATTTTCGTGCAGACGGCGACACAGGCGGACAGTTTCTGATCAGCTGACCGTAGTAGTGGTAGAGCACTTGTGGTTTATAACCGTGTACAATGACGCTGGTTCACATCTCCCGACTTTACCTTTTTACCCTGGTTATCCTCATCCGAATAGTGGCACTTTGTGTCATCGGGTGTGTATCGCTCGATGTGATGTCCGGGTGGGGTAAAACGTCAGTCAATATACATTGGGTATGACGACACTCAGCACCACACAAGTGGACAGTGGAAAAATTGAAAACAAGGCAGCGACTTTTATTCTTGGTTGCACTAGACCAGCGGTTCTCAAACTGGGGGCTGAGGCACCCATGAGTGGTCGCGAGCGTATGCCAGGGGTGGGCGCGAGCGTACGCCAGGGGTGCGCGCGAGCGTATGCCAGGGGTGCCGTAAGCGTATGCCATAGGTGCCGCGGCAATAATAGTTTTTTTTTAAGAAAATCTTCTTGAGATCAACGAAGACAACGATTAAAAAGAGAAATACCGCGAAGGAAGCCAAACAGAGTTCTGGATGCAGGTGGGGTGGAAAAAATGCAAGGCAAGGCCGCAGTTTATTCTTAATGTACGCTTAAAAAAAAAAAAAAAGATACGTGAGCAAACTTTCTAAATCAAATGATCTGAGGGTAAAATTACCTAAACTTTCTAAAAACACATAGTAAATAATGAAAAATGTATACAATTTCATTCATCGCATTAAAGACAAATGAACATAGAATGTACACGATTTTTCTTCTTCTTCTTCTTCTTCTTTTTTTTTTTTTTTTATTCAACTCGCTTCAAGGTTAGGTGTGCAGCGATAAAAAAATTTCTCAAGACAAGGGTGCAGCGGCGACAATTTTGAGAACGTAGGCCGGGAATGCATAGACTGGTCAGGAGGTGCCACGGAGGTGGACATTTGGGAATTAATTCAAGATAATGTTCGCTCAGAGGATTTGACTATTAACACAGACGGTTAATGGCCGACGTTTGGTGCAGGAGAGTCTAGCATATGATACCACAACACCCAGTTTAAGAATAGAGGTGGAGGCGGTCACTGCAGCTTTCCGCTGTTAGAGAAGACGACACACACACACACACACACACACACACACACACACACACACATATCGTGATTGTAACTGACTCAGAAACATGCTGAGGATGATCAGGATAGGTATGCTTCTTGCAGAGTGGCATGCTTCGTGCAGAGCGGCATGCTTCACTGCTGAGGACAAGGGTGAGGAGAATTGTCTGGATTTTTTTTTACCGGGAGTCGCCGGTATGTTGGGAAATGAACAGGCGGGCAGACTGGCTGGCTCTTCACAACTTGTTGGAATACTGATGCATAATAAGGCACACGTGGTTAGTGGGAGAGCGTGTACAGATCGGAGGAGCCTATGGACCACGACACTGGTGAGATTATGCAACGAGGAATGACGATAGGTTCTGGCAGAAGCTGAAGCCTCAGAGGAAAGGCAAGACGGACGTTTAAACAGAATGTTACTGCACCATTATTATCGGAACTCTTCGCTGGCTGTCGAAGAATCGGACAAAGCGCTTATGTGAATGCCCCAAGTGCTGTGATGTCGGTTCTTGAATCAACCCAACTCAACCCAGATCTCGCAGTTGTGATCTTGCATCAAGTATATGTGATTTATCTTGTATCTGATTCCTTGAGTGGGACAGACGAGAAATATCATCAGTGAAGTCCCTTGTGTGGGTTCCGAGGCCTCATTGTTGGGAAAACAAGAATAGACCCACTGCCTACCCAAAAGCATGTCGTAGGAGTCGACTAATTGCAGAGCTTCCTTTAAAGTCGGAGTGCAT